TGCTCTCCAGTTAAGGTGGCTGGAAATCAAAACGGGTCTTGTGTCACACAAAAGCTGATCTCTGATCTCCTCAGAAGCTTATTGGGAGTCTCAACAGAGAGGCTGAGAACTTTAACAACTTCCTCAAGCTGGGGTAACATAAAAATTACTAAAAAAAAGCATTTTAAACTAAGCAATAGCAGCAGAAGGGTGAAACATTTAAATCTGCAATTTAAATCCTTCTAGTTTGTATTTTGATAGCTTTTAAGTCATGTTGTAGTGGTCACATAATTCCCAGGAACTGTGCTCCAGAACAGCTGCACAACACACTCCCTAACCACTTGACAGCATCACTTTCACATGTTTTCTAGCCTCACTTAAAAAGCCTTTCAGAGTTTGTTGATTTGGGGTTTGTTCTTATACTTGTAGGTTCTGAGTTTTTTATTTAAGGTAACAGACCTCATTAATTTCCCTCTGTCTTTTAGGACAACTATTATGGGGAGGTAATTTTTAAGTAATTTCCTGTTTACAGAAAAAAGGTGAACAGTGATGGTGTATCCCACATCGATTGTGCAAACACATTTCTCCATTTTTCAACTCACCAATGGGGACAAACGGCGTCTCCTTAAATTTTTTGATCAGCTTTGAGGTCTGGCTGGTCTCTGTCTCATAGTCAGGGAGAACAGATTCCTGGCTGGGTGACATTGTGGCTGTGAAGACAAAGAACGTCCCTTCAGGTTTTGGAAACCCCAAATAAAGAGAATCTTTAGGAAAAGAAAATCCCTTGTCACAAATAGCCAGGTAGTGAGATATAAGAACAGGCACCATAAACAGTGGCTAAATTCAAGTGAAGCTTGAGAAGCAGGACTGTGCTTACTAGGAGAGGTAAGAACAAAACAAAACCAAAAAAAGTAGGAGAGCAACAAATTTTTTGCCATCTGTTTTCACACCATTAGAGATCCCAGTGATCCCCCCCATGCTCACAGGCAGCCACAGAAAGCTTTGGTCACTGCCTGCCCTTCCTTTTAGGAATTCCATGCCTCACCACACTGCTTGGCTTTCGCAGGCTGGTCCTTTATGGCCGTTCTGACCTCAGCAAAGTTCACTTCTCCCCCCTCATTCCCTGCCAAGAGCAGCAGCCACAGCAGCTGGGCCGGGAAGCAGAGCTGCTGCACAAGGTCAGCCCTGCCTGGCAGCTCCTCAGTCACTACAGCCTATCCCACATCAACAGAGCTCCAAATTCCCAATGGAGAACACAGGGAAGGGGAACAGCCACTGCCAAGGAGCTGCTGAGCAAGTCCTCAATGGGTGCAGACTCCTGTGGGGTCGCATCAGGAGGAGAAGCCATCCACAGGTGATTTCTCACCTTCCCCCAAGGAAAATAAAAAGCAGCAACAGCTTGAGAAGGGCTCCACTCACAGAACTATCATCACCAAAGTGAGACCATCCTCCAGAACTTCCCAGCTTTTTGTGTTGGGAATTGCATGGATTACACCAAGAACTATTCCCTCCTCAGTACTCCATTCAGCTAATGACAATTTCTGCCAGTGACACCACAGAGAACCCTGCTAGAAAAATCTCAACTGCTATTGCTCAGCTTTGCCAACAACGGCAAAACACAGCTCAGGGGCACATAGAAAGGCTCCAAGCTCTCAGAATAAACCAAGAGGAATTTCATTAAGCAGGTGCCAGTAACCTTAGGCCGAAGACACATTTCAAAGGTGGCCATGCTCCGTGGTTACACAGCATTTTGTGCACACCCATGTGAGCAGACTGACTGGTTCTCAAACCATTTCCTCTGCAAGGCCAAAGGATTTGGTCTCTCTACGGCTGCTACAACCATTCTTATTGGCTAAATGTAAGCTATAATTTTAGCCTGACTCATTCAGAGAAGGAAACAAGAGCTCTCCATCACTCAGCAGAGGAGGAGACAGCCAGAGATGAGCCTTACACAAGAAAATTACATTAAAAGTGAAACAATTCATCCACCGCGAGAAACTTCCTGTGACCTTCAGCTCAGACCAAGATGGGCACAGGGCAGAAGAAACGGGGTGAAACACACGGCCCGGCTGCCCTGACCTTGCCGACACCTCAGGGCGCTGAGGGCACCGCTGTGACCGGTGCCACCCGCGGGGACACTGACCACGGGTGGGGAGGCGACAGGTCCCAGCATCCTCCCGGCAAGGGGGAGGCCCTGGGTACCCCTTCTGTCTGCCCAGCTCCACGTGGGGACCCTTCCCCACTGCAGCCCCAGGGCCCGCACCCCTCATGGAGACTCGGCCAAGCACCTTCACCGCGCTCCGGCCTTCTGCCGCACGGCGCCTCAGCTCTGCTCCTCCCCAATCACTTCCTCCCACATGGAAAGCCTTGTTCCTGCAGCCCAGGGGCCGTGTCCCCGGCCGTGTCCCCGGCAGCGCTTCCCTCCCGCCCGCCCCGACCCGGCTCTCACCGCGCGGGTCCCGCACCGACCAGCGTCTGCCGCGCCCGGCCCCGCCCCCGCCTTTTATAGGCGGCCTCCGCCCCGCCCCTCCGCCCGGACCACAACTCCCAGCGTGCCCCGCGCCGCGCGCTCGCTGATAGCCAATCCGGAGCGTGGCAGCGACCGCCGCTTCCTTGCGCGGTGACGTCACGCGCGGCGCTCCGCATTGCGGCGGGGTGGCGCGGCCGGCAGGGGGCGCTGCGGGGCCCGCGCCCCTCAGGGACGGTCCCGCCTCAGGGTCTGCGTTAGTCCCAAAAAAGTGGGAAAAGGAAGAGCTTTAGATTAGATATTGGGATAAGGAATTGTTCCCTGGGAGTTGGGGAGGTCCTGGCACCAGAGCAGCTGTGGCTGCCCGTGGATTCCTGGAAGTGTCCAAGGCCAGGTTGGATGGGGCTTGGAGCAGCTTGGGATGGTGGGAGGTGACACTGCCCATGGAAGGTGTCCCTGGCCATGGAAGGTGACACTGCCCATGGAAGGTGTCATACCCATGGAAGGTGTCCCTGGCCATGGAAGGTGACACTGCCCATGGAAGGTGTCCTCGGCCATGGAAGGTGACACTGCCCATGGAAGGTTTCCCTGCCCATGGAAGGTGACACTGCCCATGGAAGGTGTCCCTGGCCATGGAAGGTTTCCCTGCCCATGGAAGGTGTCCCTGCCCATAGAAGGTGTCCCTGGCCATGGAAGGTGACACTGCCCATGGAAGGTGACACTGCCCATGGAAGGTGACACTGCCCATGGAAGGTGTCCCTGCCCATGGAAGGTGTTGTGCCCATGGAAGATGTCCCTGCCCATGGAAGGCATCCTTGCCCATGGAGGGTGTCCCAGTCCATGGCAAGGGATGAGATTGTACAGCAAATCCCTCTAGGAAAAGCCAGTGTCCATAAAGGAGACAGAGGAGTCCTGCAGCTTTATTCGGGTGAAGGCAGTGAGGCCGCTGGGGCACATCCCCGCGGGTTTTCTCTCTCGAGGTTTCGGAGGGCGCAGCCGCCTTTTATCCCAAACTCCGCCGCACGTTGCCCTCTTCCTTCCCCCGCTGGCCGAGGTACCAGGGAGGTGCAGCCTTCCCGAACCCCCTGCCACGTATCCCCCCTTGAACACGTTATTTACCCCAAACTTCAGAAACTCAGGCTTGTGCGGCCCCTTCGGCTGTTTCAGGAGTCAAACTGGGTTCTGTAACAAACCTGCTGCTTGAAGTTGGTAGAAACATTAAGCCCCATCTCAAAGCCCTTCACAACCATCCCCTCACCCATGGAATTGTTTGTAAAGACATCAACACACATCTTCCCTATAAGGTGAGATGGTCTCTAAAGTCCCTTCCAGCCCAAACCCTTCGGAGATTCTGTTAAATTTGGGCTCTTACTTAGTCCTTTGCTGAAGAGCTTCCACCTGATGTCAAAATCATGGAATGGTTTGGGTTGGAAGGGACCTTAAAGTTCATCCTGTTCCACCCCCTGCCATGGGCAGGGACACCTTCCACCAGATCAGGTTGCTCCAAGGCCCATCCAACTTGGAACACTTCCAGGAACGGTGCAGCCACAGCTTCTCTGGCTTTCCTTCATTTTGATTTTCTTGGTGCTGAATTATGTCATTGACTATGTTTTCCCATATTTCAGCTTTCAGGCAGACCTGGTTTTACCCCCACTCTGTGCAAGGATTTTGATGCTCAAAGACAGCCTGAAATTGCTCCTGACTTAGACCGTATTCTGGAAGAGGAAGAAGAATCCACTGGGATCCCAAAGATCCCCAAAAAATCTTCTCCTAAATCTGAGAACAGCTTGTCATGGAAAACCAGCAAAGATAAATCCTTTTTTTCCCTAAGCCCAGTGCTCCTGTGTGATGTTTGTACCTCCTCATCTCCGAGCTGAGGGGAGGCAGAGCTGCTGCAGCTGCAGGGTCACTCTGCCACCGACATTTGGCATTTTGGGCAGCAGAAAATAAAGTGGCTCAGACAAGCGCTGCATCTCTCTAAATGTGCTGCCCATTACCCCTAATCTTGTTAATTTAATTGCCAAAGCCATCAGAGCCCTGCAGTCTGAAAGAAAACAAAAGATAGATGCAATTACCAGCCCTGAAATTGAGTTAAAATCTTGTAATAAATTATAGCAAAGGCCACTTTCTCCAGTGATTCTCAGAGGTACATTTAATTCTCTGCTTCAGGGGAGAAACTCAATTAAAAATAAAAACTTATTTAATTTTAATTGCTGGCCTAATGAAACCTCTGTCACCTGCAGCTTCCTTGTGTGTGTGTCCGGTGTCTCAGCTCTACGAGTGGCTTCTTGCTCTCTGCTAATGTGTGTGCAGCACACACATAATAATAATAAAAATATACATTTATTACACGGTGTATTTAAAGTGCAGCAGCAGCTGATGGTGGCAAACACGGAAATGGGTAATAAGAACAAATTTCTCTCTGTGAATCTCTGTGGATGTGGAGCTGTGGCCGTCACTGCTCCTCTGCTCTCCTGTTTTTACCAGGGTGGTTTGGGATGTGTAAAACACGCTGGGATTGGCACAGGGGAAGCCTTGGCACAGCCAGGGTGTTCCATAGCCCCGTTTGTTGGTGAGATGAGGAAACGAGCAGGAGTGTGACCACTAACCCATGCTGATGCCCCAAAACTCCTGCAATAAACCACTTCATCAGAAACACCTTTGGCAGAGACCATTTCTGCTCTGGCAGGGGATGAGGACCCTGCAGCATCAGATTTCCTGGAAAACACGTGGATTTTTACAGCAGGGACTCAGCCTCTGCTGGGAGCTGTTCTAGATGTTACGCTTAAACACAGGGTGGAGAGCAATCCTCCAGGACTGACAGGGAGTGATGAAAAGCAGGAAAAAACAAAAGAAAACCGGGGAGGTTGTGCTGAGCTCACATTTCCTGACTGTCCTCTTACACAAATGGAAGAAGTTCCTAAAAGCCTGGTTCAAGCCTCTGGGAGAATGGAAAGAGGAGAAGAAGCTTCTGTAAGTGCCTTTTCTGCTTCTTGCTTGTAGACAAGGCCATAGAAGAAACCTGGCAAGGCTCGCTTTTGTTTTTGAATGGTTGACAGCTTGGGGCCAGGATTAATTCCTGAGCTCAGCCCTCCCTTCCACTCTGGGGTACAGGATGGGGATGTGGACGCTAGTGCTGGGCTGATGTGGAGGGAGAAGGATCTGGGAGAGGGAGAAAAGACATCTCAGTGGGCTGGAAGAGAGCCCAGATGCAAATTTTGGGAATATCCCGGTGTGGGTAGAGGGGGTGTGAGGGGGAAGGTGTTTATGAGTCTCAGATGTTGCTGTGATCAGCAAGGTGCACAGCTTTGGTTTCCTCTCGAGGGTCTGCAGTCACAGCTGAGGGTGAATTTCCTCCAAAATATGATACAAAAAATAAATGTTAAAAAGCTCATTCCCAGACAAGTCTTTTTGTGGCACTTTCCTGTGGCAGATCCCTGCTCCCCCACTGCTCTGTCCGAAGTGCTCTGCAGCACTGCCAAAGAACGGTGAGACGGCACGAAAACATTTCAATCCAGCTCAAACCCAGTTTTGCTTTTCTTTTCAGCTGCCTGGAGCTGCCTGGAATGGGTATTTAAGCAATTTCAGTCATGGGACCACAGCAGGTACGAGCAGAGCTTCACCCTTTACAGCTGCACACCCACTCTGAGCCTGTGGGGTGGAGGGCACCCCTTTCCCTGGGTGTTTGTGGGGAGGGAGCCTAAAACCTGCAGATCCACCATGGGATATGTCCTCGTTGGGATGCACAGCGTAGCCAGGGACCAACAACTTCACATTCTCATTTCTGAGCGGCTGCAAATCCTGGAGGGAAAAACAGATCCTTGAGGGGAGACTGGAGCTACACAGCAAAGGCTGTTTGGGATTCCTGGAAAATGAGTCCCAGGGAAAAGATGAGTATCTTTGGCCATGGCTGAAAAAATGTGTGCTTTAGTGGTAGAGGGGTGTTCACATGGTTTTTTGCAAAACTGTTTTGTTTTGCTGCCAGATTAACCTTGATGATTAAACTCCTCATTAACCTTCGAAGTGCCAACAGCACCAGGCAAATCCCATCTCCTACTATGTGAAATGAGCTCCTCAGTGACAGCTTTTTTCCTGAAAATCAGATCCCAAAAGTAGGAGGCTCTCAATCACTCACCATTTCCTGAAATCTGGGCTGCAGCCATCTAAACAATGATGTCCACAGTTCCAGGGAGTGACCACTGCAGGGGTTGTCTCATGCATTGTCTCATGCAGAATTGATTCCAGCAGTGTTCTTCCAGCTGAATCTTTCTTTCTCACCATAATTCAGGACTGGATTTTGGTGCCTACATGCCCTCACCTTGGATGAGTCTTTGAGCAGCCTGGGATAATGGAAGGTGTCCCTGCCCAGGGCAGGAGGGTTGGAACAAGATGTTCTTCTAGGTTCTTTCCAACCCAAACCATTCTGGAATCCTGTGAATTCTGTATTTTCCACTCACCAATGCCTTTTTCCAGAATCCATGTCTTCTTGTCCTAGAGCTGGCATGGAGAGGTCTCAGTGTCCTCTCAGGAGCAGGGAGATGTTCAGCATTTCACCTTGGGGAACAGCCTCACTGACACTGCTGGTGGCAGGTTCTTCTTTACCAAGAATTGAGATGCTGCTTTTTCAGTAGTGACCAAGGTGAATATAAGCAGCTCACAGGGAGCTGTGCTGGTGGATTTCCTATAATTTAGAGCAGAAACTTCACTAAAAGCTTGTGGTGGTGCCAGGAGGATGTAATGATTTCCGTCAGAGGAAACCGTGCACATTCATTTTTAAGTTTTATGTGTTTGAGTAAGGAAAATGGAATTAATTTTAGGGTTTTTTTAGGGGTTTTTTTGTTTGTTTATTTTTTTTTCCTTTTTTTTTTTTTTTTTTTTTAATATGTACATGTGGACAGCTATCCCCATGCTCAGGCAAAGGCCAAGTTGTTCAGGACACAAAATACTCACCAGACAGTGGCAGAAATTTAGACCAGTGAAATTCCAGTGCCTGAATGGAGCCTACAAGAAAGACAAAAAGGGGCTTTTTACAGGAGCATGGAGTGACAGGACAAGGGGTAATGGGTCTTTCAGTTGAAAAAGGGTAGGTTTGGACCAAATATTAGGAGGAATTTCTTTGCTGTGAGGCCCTGGAACAGCATTCCCAGAGAAGCTGTGGCTGCCCCAGGATCCCTGGAAGTGTCCAAGGCCAGGTTGAACAGGGCTTGGAGCAACCTGGGACAGTGGTAGGCGTCCCTGTCCATGGCAAAGGTTGGAGCAAGATGATCTTGAAAGTCTCTTCCAACCCAAACCATTCTGTGATTCTATGAACTAAACATCTCTGTGTTTCACAGATGTGATTCACATTCCCTCTGTGATGTGCTCTTTGCTTCCTGTGTGAATTGGAACAACACTTTGATCTCTTTCCCTTGCTCTTAGGCAGCCACTGGTCAAACACAACGTCAGGAGTGACAGCAACAACCACAGGCACGTGGCTGGATGCTGCCAATTCCAGTGAGTACCTGTATGAGTACCTGGATGAGGAGGATTATGGGCTCTATGGCCTCTGCACCAAGGAGGAGGTGCTGTCCTTCAGCAGGGTGTTCCTGCCATCATTTTACACCGTGATCTTCCTGGTTGGAATGGCTGGGAATGCCCTCCTGTTTACGGTCCTCCTCATGCACATCAAGAAGAAAAAGAAGATGACTGAGCTGTATCTGATGAACCTGGTGGTTTCAGACTTCTTCCTGCTACTGACCCTTCCTTTCTGGGCTCTGTACATTTCTCAGTGGGTCACCTGGGACATTTTGTGCCCATTCTTAAGTGCCATGTACACTCTGAACTTCTACAGTGGCATCTTCTTTGTGAGCTGCATGAGCCTGGACATGTATCTGCAGATAGTTCATGCTTGGTCTCCTCACAGCTCCACGGTGTGGAGGAATTCCATCCTCATCTTGTTGGTGATGTGGATACTTTCCATAGCTCTCTCCATTCCTGATGGCCTCTTCACCAGCACAAGGCAAACTCACAACAAAACCATCATGTGCGCCCAGGATTATGGCCAGGAACATTTATTTTGGAAAGTTGTTTTTCGGGTGACTCAAAACATCCTGGGATTCCTTTTCCCCTTCCTCTTCATGACGTTCTGCTACTCCCGCATCGCGTGTGTGCTCAACACCTCACAGATACCTGGCTCCAGGAGAGCTCTCTGCTTAGTCCTTACCCTGGTGGGAGTCTTCTTTGTGCTGTGGTGTCCTTACAACGTTGTGCTCATCCTCCACTCCCTGCAGGATGTCGGTGTGATCAGGAGCTGTGAAAGCAGTAGGAAACTGGACTATGCCCTGCAGATCACCGAGAGCTTGTCCTTTGTCCACTGCTGTCTCAACCCCTTGCTCTATGCTTTTGTGAAGAAACGGTTCAGGGCATATTTGTGGAAGATCCCTCAGGCTATTTTCAGGAGAGGCGCTTTCTTTTCCATCCAGGACTCCCAGACAAGCCTGTCTTGCAGCAGGTATGCAGCTGAGATAGAAATGTTGAGCATCACAAATGCATCATAAATATTTACATTATTTACATTATGTGTGAGCCCTCTGTCCTGCCTGTGATGGAGTTGGTGTGAGCCTGCAGCACTGTGTAACCAGATAGTTCATCCTAGCAACAACCTTGAGATGAGGTTTCCAATCCATACTGGGATTGGAAAAGTACACGTGGGATCTCTTTCTGTTGCACGTGGAATTATGAAAGAATTGTCCTGTATTTACACTAGTGGAAGAAACCCAGTTCTCATCTGGAGGCAGAAGCAAATAAAGGATCAGATTTCTCAATGTTGTGCCTTAAAAAAATGCAAACTAAGACTTGAGGAGAGATTATCCTCCTCCTTGGCACGGGCTTTCCATGGATGGAATTCCATGCTCATCCATCAGGCCACAAAGACTGTGAAGGGATCTGGCTCTTACCGTCTGCCAGATGATTTAACCGGGATAATCTCGTTTTCTACCAGGAGATACAACAGGAAGGACTGGACACCTCTAAGCTGAGCTGTTCTCTGTCCTGATGAGCTGTACCACACTCAGACCTGCTGAGCAGGGAACTGGGACTCTCCAAGGGGCAGGGCCTTGCTTAGAGATCGGTTTGATCATCAGCTGATTTGAGACAGTTTGAGCAGAACACAGTCCAGACCAATAACGGTGAGAAAGAGATAAAAAGGGGGCTCAGCAGAACAGTGGTTGAGGTATTTGCCTTCCATGATCCATTTTGACAAGAAAAAAAAGATCAATGGGTACCACCTGTAACATAAATATTGGCTTTGAAACACAACAAGAGTGAAATCGTGGCCTGAACAGAAGAGCACAGAGAGCTGATGGTCAATCCTTATTACCCAGTGCACCTTTGAAGTTCAAGGTTCTGAGTTTGCTGACTTTTATTTAAAGGCATTATTCACCCTAAATGCTCCTGAACATTAAATAGTCCCTTTCCATCCTCTAAATCTATTAAGTCTGGAAGTTGCCTAGAGTTGTACAAATAAAATTATGAATTTAAAAGAAAGCACATATCACATTTATTTTATTACTACATAAGATTACAGTACTGAGAAGGGCTTTGAGTTGATCACTGCTGTTATTTTTCTTCCCAACATTGCTACAGTGTTTTTCCAAAGTGGTAAGGTTGGGAGCTTTCCTTAAAAAAAACAAAGCCAGAATAAATATTTAGCTGATGCTATAATGTGACCTTCACTCCTTGGGTCAGGTCACTGCAGGGAACGTGGAAAGGGACAGCAGCTGGGAAGCTAAAAAGATGAAGACTGTGATCCCAGGCAGAGGAAGGCTCTTGGGACTGTGGAAAACTCATGATGGGATGCTCTAGGGAAGAGCAAAGGTGAGGAAGAGAGGGGAGTTAATGTCACTCTCCATCCTGCACGAGAAGAGGTCCAAGCACCAGTGGCTGGGACAGGCTGTGGTGGCAGTCTGGGTAGATCAGGGTGGCAGCACCCAGAGGAGCAGTACCAGGTGGGATATGGGGTCCCTGGCATTGTCCCCAAACCCATCTGGAGGGAGGTAACAGGGGAGTTTGAGAAACAGAAGGGAAAGTGGGTAAAGCAGAAGTGCTGTGGTCCCTATGGGCACTGCTCCCCAGCCAGGGGCTGGGTGGAGCATCTAGAAGCTCTGGACTCCTCTGGTGCCAAGCAAATGCAGTGGCTCAAGTTCTCCCCACTCGTGGGGCAGCTCAGCTGCTTTGCTTTGCACTCAGACAGAGCAGTAGTGCTTTGTTCATTGGCAAAGCACTCCTGGGACACCATGTGCTGTGGAGATCACCAACATGTCAGAGACTTTTCCTTCTCTTGGCTTTTGAGACCAAATCAGCTCAGCTGTGACCCCCTTCCCTCGGTCCTGTGCTCATTTCCAGTAGCATTTCTGACATCCCCTCTTGGTTTCATTTTTTCAGTGGGTGTCCATAGCCTGGTCTTAAAGGCAGAAATCACAGAGTGGGATTCTCTGAACAAGTTCCTTACAAAATCTGAGCTCCATGCAGCCTAGAGAAGGGAACTTGCCTCATGCCAAAACCCACCCCCCTAATACAGTATGGATACTGCAACAGGATTCCAACATGCCTTCCACCTTAAAAATCTCTGTTCATCCAGGGACGAGTTCACTCCGGAGAGCTCTGCCAGAGGCAAACACTCACAGCCAATGGGGGCAGAGGCTGTCAGCTCTGCATCTGCATATCAGCTGCTGGCTGGGGATAAAATGCACATTCCCACCCCAACCTGCCTCTAATCCCAGCTGCTGGACAGGCACAGAGCTCTCATGGTGCTCTGGGTGGCTCTCCTCTGCACCTTGGTGTCATCACTGCTCGGTGGGCTCTATGTCCTGGGTGTGTTTCGGAGACAGAGACCCAGTGAGCCACCCCTGGACAAAGGTACCATTCCCTGGCTGGGCTATCTGCTGGAATTCAGAAAGGACAGCTCAGAGTTTCTCAAAAGGATGCAGAGCAAACACGGGGATGTTTTCACAGTACTGATCGGTGGCTATTACTTCACCTTTGTGATGGATCCCTTCTGCTTTGGCACCATCGTGAAGGAATCGCGATCTAAGCTGGACTTCAGGACTAGTGCAACTCAGCTGGTCGTGCAGGTTTTTGGCTACAAGCCCACCGAAGCCACTCATAGCGTAGTTCATGCAGCAAGCACAAAGCACCTGATGGGAGATGGCCTCACTGCCCTCACACAAGCCACCATGGAGAGCTTTCGGAAGCTGCTGCTTTGCAGCCTGAGCTCAGGAGAGAAGAGAGTGTGGCAGGAGGAAAACCTCTTCCACTACTGCTACAACATCATCTTCAGAGCTGGGTACCTGGCTCTGTATGGCAGCGAGCCACCCCGAGGGGCAGGAAACAAGGAGGAAGCTGAAGAGCAGGATCGCCTCCACTCCAACCAGCTCTTCCAGGAGTTTCGGAAGTACGACCGCCTCTTCCCTCACCTGGCCTTTGCTCTGTTGCCTCCCAAGGACAAAAGAGAGGCTGAGCGGCTGAAGAGACACTTCTGGAATGTGCTGTCCGCGAAGAAGGTCTGTCAGAAGGACAACATCAGTGGCTGGATAAGTGATCAAGAGCAACTTCTGGCAGAAAACGGCGTCCCCGAGTACATGCGGGATCGTTTCATGTTCATGCTCCTCTGGGCATCCCAAGGCAACACTGGCCCTTCTGCCTTCTGGCTCCTCTTGTACCTACTGAAGCATCCAGAGGCTCTGAAGGCTGTGAGAGATGAGGTGGATAAAGTCTTGAGGGAGAGTGGGCAGGAAGTAAAGGCAGGGAGCCCCCCAGTTACTGTCACCAGGGACATGCTGAACCAGACTCCTCTGCTGGACAGTGCTCTGGAGGAGACCCTGAGGCTGGTGGCAGCCCCAATGCTGGTCAGAGCTGTCCTCGAGGACACCTCCCTGAGGACAAGCAGTGGGACAGAGTTCACCCTCCGCAGGGGGGACAGGGTGGCTCTGTTCCCACACATCTCCGTGCAGATGAACCCAGAAATCCACCAGGAGCCTCACAAATTTAAGTACGACCGTTTTGTAAACCCAGACGGCACCAGGAAAGATTTCTACCGAAACGGGAAGAAGCTGAAATTTGTCAGCATGCCTTGGGGAGCAGGAGTTTCCACTTGTCCAGGGCGGTTTTTTGCTACTGCTGAAATGAAATTGTTTGTGTTCTTGATGCTGAGTCACTTTGACCTGGAGCTGGTCAATGAGGAGGAGGAGACCCCAGCCATAGACAGCAGCCGCTGGGGATTCGGGACGATGCAGCCTGTCCGTGATATTCGGTTCAGATACCGACCACGCTTTTAACCTGGGGAGTCCTGGTGGTGTTGTTTGTTCTGTGTCACCTATGGGACAAATTGTCTGATCCTGTGGTTATCAGATCTGTGCAGTGCCACCACTGATATGATCTTGTTTGCTTAATGCTTATTGTGGCTTTTGTTGTTACCTCCTGTTGGAATCTGTGGTATTGATGATCCCGAGATTGTAGAAAGTCTCTGTCTGTCAGCCCCGCTGCCAAAGCAGAAGTCATAATTCGTCTGTGCTGTTTCAAGGTTGTTTATTCTGTTTATCTCTAACATGTTCTGCTGCCCTGCCGCAGCTCTGTCCTGCAGGGCAGCGTGTGGGGCTCTGCCCTCAGTGGGATGGTACAAACATTAAATACCAGAAACTACCTGTGCTGGATTTACAATAACGTGCCAATATCTGTCACCTACGTTGGACAGTGTGTCCCCAGCCTGAACCAACAGAAAAATGCCAACACCACAGTGAAACATGGAGGGCATGAAGAAGGAGAAAAAGGACAAGGCACACCCAATTTCCTCCATCTTGTCCCTTCTGAACCCCTAATCTAGAAACTTAAAATTTTACTTTTGCACCCATGTCACACTTAATTATTACTCTTATCAAACACTCAAAGCTTGTAATTAATCCTGTAAGATTGAAAACTCTTTTCCATGGACAGAGATCACAGACAGTGTCTCTGGGGGCTCTGTCCAGGGGGGGTCCTGACCCCTGCCAGGGTCCCAGACCTGCCAGGGCAGCCAGAGGGAAGCCCTGGGTTCCCACAACCTCCTCCTCCTGTGCTGCTGCTGTGTGTTGTGTTGGTTATGGGATAGAGGTTAATCTGCACAGAGAGACAAAACGTGCCCTGCCAGGCTACTCCCAGCCCCATCCCAAGGGCCATCAGCCCATTGGAAGCCAAGAGGAGCACAGGGTCAGATTGGCAGGTGGGAACCCAAATTCAGGGATTCCAAGGAAGAAGGGTTTTGCCCAGGTTCCTCCCAGGGCTGTCCCAGCAGAGCATCAGCCCCATGGTCCCAGCATGACTCCCATGGAGATGTGTCATCAGAAACATCTCTTTATCACCACCTGGGATAAGGGGGATGGTGTCAAGGCAGGGGAGACATCCTATGGTGTGTAGGGGAAGAGCATTTTGGGACTGCCCAGGACAGAGTGTTTGGGAGAGGAATCAAAGGGGGATAAAAGAGGGATTTGGGTCATTTGGGCAGGAAAATCGAGGTGTAAGGGGATGAAAAGGGTTGGTTGGGTGCAAATAGGTGACTGGTCCATAGACTTACCTGCACCTGATAATTTATTTTCCACATCAAGTATCATTGGCAGGATGGCATCAGTTTATGGTGAACCCCTGAAAGGTCAGAGAGCAGCAAATATCCTCTCTAGATATGTAAAAATTTCCTTGGGGAAATCTTGTATTGTTTATGGTTCTCTTCTTGTATCTGGTGAGGCCTCCAAAGAGAGCAACCTCAATCCCTTATGGGCTACAGCCACTGTGATCTTATAGCCCTCAAACATATCTTTTATCTGCTGGATCAGTGCAGGATAAAACTTTGCTCTACAAAGCTCTGCTTTGCTTTATTACCCTTCAACAATTAGGTCTCCCACCACTTCCTTACAGAAGTTAATCCCAAGCCTCTCCTGTATGGAGACCAGTGGATTGATTTTAATGCTGACACTAACCTTGAATTTTGGAGATTATTTGTGGTCGAGGGATGAAACTCAAACATTTTCACATGTGTCCAGACATCAGATCTAGATTCTGCTTTGTGCTTCAAAGGGCAGAGTGATGTTGTAACTGCATGTTAATGCCAAATTATCCCAGCCTGCCAGACTGGTCATTAGCCCTGACCTCATGGTGGTGGTGGAAATTCAGGCAGAAACTATCAAGCAGTTGTGGAAGGACCAAGGAAAACAAAAACTACCTGTAAGGCTTGACTGCGACAGCTGATATTTCCATTAGCAATTCCAGCATCTTTTCACTCCTCCCATGCTCCATCTACAGCTTTCACTTATTATTTTGTCATCCATGGGTTCACTCCTCTGAAGCCCTTCTCACATTCTGGTCAATGTAAGTAAGATCCAAACCATGCCCAGGAACGCCTTGGGGTAGCTGGGCAGCTCAGAGCCATTTGGAGGGTGATGTCCTCCCTCCAAAGCTCTAGGAAAAGGATTTTTCCTGTGGATATCTTGCATGGAAGTGGTTCCTAGCTAGTAGACAGTGTATACAGGTTATCACAAAGAGCTCAGGTGAAGGACGTGTGGTGCACAAATGTAGGTTGGGATTGGGGAAGGGATGTAAAAGTAATAACAATGATTCAGCAGAAAAATCTGGCTTTATTTGCTCGTCAGAATGGTTTATTTAACCAAACAGTGTTGAGTCTATAAAAGAGCTCAGACATGCTCAAATGCATGCAATTGTGAGAAGCAAAAAAGAAAATAATTCATATATGGAAGAGCATGAAAGCTCCAAATGAGTTAATCTACAATTATGTTTTTTATGTTTAGATAGGTTTTTCCCTGGCACTGACCTTTCCATCCCAAAGTGCACCAGCAAGAGCAAAGAACCAGCCTGTGCCAACAAAACCTTGACTGGATTTGTGAAAGAAGTTAAATTGGATGAGATCCAGTGTCATTGCAATGCCTGTCTCATGTAACTCTCCTCCCAGAGAACTGAGCACAGTCTGGCCCCAAGCCCTTGGGTTTCTCTCCTGTAGCACACAGTGAAGACAATATCACTTCAGCATTCCAAATTTGACAATCTACTGAGTTGGTGCCTGCTCTCCACAGCACAGGGAAAGCTCCTCTGCTCTCAGTCACAATTCCTGCCCTGCATGCTTAGCAAGCGAAGGAGTCATGATCTTTCAGGTTTGGAACAATATGGATTAAACTTGTTGGGAAAGAGCAACAGCCTCACTTTTAGTATTGAACTGTAATGCATTAGGAACTGTTTTCCTGATCTCCTTCCCCTAAACACAGCCAGACACAGCTCTGAGAAAGCCTCCTCTTACTGCTGCTCATGTGGAAAATTGAGGGACACATCAATCACTGCAGAGAAACTCAAAGGAACGCTGAAGTTATGAGTACAAAGCAATGACACAGCCAACACCATCCTTTGCAGAGGTAAGCAGGGTCAAAGAGGAAGGTCAAAGAGGAATTTTAAAAAGAATTAAAACACTCAGCCTTTGCCAGGGACACTGCTGCCACATCTCCAGGTAGATGTGTCCCTGCTGCCCAGGGAAGAGCAGCTCAGCTTCAAAGTGGCAAAGCCTTTTAGTGGTACAAAATCTGCATGTTACAAGGTCACTGCTGGGTTTGCTGCCTTCACTGTCCCAGTTCCCCCACGAGTCACACATACACAGAAACAGCCCGTGGCAGACAGGACACACAGATAAAACACAGAGGGGTCGGGCAGAGAGCAGCTTCCAGGAGGGTTTGGTACCAAACACTCGGTGCAGGAGGGCACAGAGAGGCGATTCCCGCCTGTCACCACATCCACATCACTGTGCAATCATGAGGCCGTACTTGGAACACAGCAGGCCCCTCTTCTTCTCCCGTTCCATGAGGAAATTCCTCAGTTTGGTGGTGGGGAAGGTGACCAGTGCCTGCTGCCTGTTGTCCAGACCAGTCTCCTGGAGCCACGGGCTCTGGAGGCACTCGGAGGCTGACGGCCGTCCCCTAGGACAGACGAAGGCGAGGGGTTACTCGGGGGTCCGTGCTGCAAGGGAGGCTCCTTGCCAATGGAGAAAGGGGCAATACACCCAGGCTGTGTCCCAGCTGGGAGGGCAGCCAGCCTCTTACCAAGGGTTTGCACACAGAGTGCTCTGGAGGAAGGACACTGCTCCCCCGGAGAGACCCGCGTAGCACCGCGTCAGCTTCAGCTTTCCCTTCCTGGCTGTTCTCAGGAACTCACAGGGTGCATCCGAGCTGATGGGGTAGTTGGCACTCAACCTGCCCCAGGAGAACAGGATTGAAAACATGAAGCTGCCTCCAGCTCTGGGGCTCCCAGCATGAGGAAGGTGTGGAGTTGTTGGAGCAAGTCCAGAGGAGGCCACCAAGGTTAGGAGAGGGATGGGGCACCTCTTCTTTGGGGAAAAACTGAGAGAATTGGGATTGTTCATCCTGGAGAAGGCTTCAGGGACACCTTAGAGCCCATTCCAGTGCATAAAGGGGCTCCAAGAGAGCTGGAGGGGGATTTTGGATAAGGGCTTGTAGTGCCAAGCCCTCCTCTAAGGATGAACAGTTTTAAATTAAAAGAGAAGTACTTTAGATTAGATATTGGGAAGAAATTCTTCCCTGTGAGAGCACTGAGGCCCTGGCACAGGTTACCCATCCCCTCCATCCCCCAGCTTTCCATGGCATTGCCAAAGGAGGGGCACAGCTGAGGTTAACTCTCTGAAACTGTGATTTTAAAGCCAATAACAGCACAGGGAGCAATCAACTGACTCACATGACGAAGGCTGTGATTCCAACAGACCAGATATCAGTCTGGGGAAGGGCTCCTTGCTCTGTCAGCAGTTCTGGAGCTGGAAAAGTAAACCTGTGTGAGGCAAGCTCCTGTCCAACACACTGAGAGCAGCACAAAGGCAGTGAATACTTTTATGCTTTGCTGCCTTCCCAAGGGGGAAGAGGCAGCTCCCAGGATAGGGAGCTGGTTAAGGAGCTTCCACGTGGATGCTGACTGCACTGAAACCATGAGAACCTCTGGGCAGATGGCAGCAATGCTTTATCCCTGCATAGATGGACACATGGGTGCCAGCAAGGGTGGCATTGCTGTGAGCTCTGTCCCGTGGGCTGCATGGGACACTCACTGTCACCACTCACTGCTCCCACAAACTCACACTGTCCCTGGAGAGCAGCACCTGGAAGGCTTTTCTTGCTGGGACCACCTGCTGCCTTGACCAATGTTTGTGTCTTTCTGTTTATCACAGATGAGCCCCAAGTCTCTGTGGCTGAGCTCTACTCACCCATGGTTTCCACATAGTCCGAGCATTTGTCCATGGTAATAAATTTGTCTGGTGCGTAGAACTGTGCGTTCCCAAAATCCAGGAGTTTCAGCAGGTTGGGCTCGGTGATGATCATGTTCTCAGACCTGAGGTCCAGGTGCAGGATGTTGTGTGCATGGAGGTACTCGGTGGCACTGAGGATCTGCCACAGGTAGTCTCGGACCTCCACCTCCG